TTTTTCTACAAAAGGAGTGAAATGTTACTTTATACGCACAGACTCGATAGCTTCGAATGATATGCAAAACCCCTATATCTTCTCTGGAAAGTCAATTCATAAAATACGTATGCATCTTATGAATGTGCATACATTGCCATCTCTGGCCAGATATATGGCAAGGTACTCTTGTTTCTGTCATCTCTTAATTGGAGGCATATGAAGATATTCTATTGTTCATATTTAAACTCTTCTAGAGATGTTCTTCTTTGTAATCAGAGTCACCTTCTTTCCTTATTACTTCAGGTTCTCTTTAATTCTCTCGAAGACAAAGACGCTTGAAGTTGACAGGAGTGGATTTACACTCGAGCAAATCGATGATATACACTGCCATGTACTTTATTGATTGATGTGTCCTCAGGTACTGTGTCTCTTTCTAATTGGCCTTTACGTAGCTGCATTCACTATATGCTTTGACCTTCTCTTCTGATTGCAGGATCAATACGGTAATGATGTTCTTGATAAGAGTGGGAAACCTTGTATACATTCAGATGGAACTGGCTACATCTCTGAGGACCTTGCTCGGTTGTGTCCAGTAAATGTATATAAAGGGAAATGTCTCAGAAGTGATAATATTCAGGTCTTCACTTGACTTCTATTACAATTTGATGGTTGCTTAGTTGCCTTCTGTTCACTCTTGTTCTCATATCATGTTTGTTTCTTATTTGTTTTTAAATCGAGAGTAAGAGACTCCAACCTTTGAAGCACAGGAACCTGTAGCAAAGAGCCGGTATGTAGTTTACACTCTATGTTTAAGATAGATTCTCTATTTGTTAGTATCACTTAACACCAGTAGCAAAGAGTCGGTAACTAACAATTCTGTTTTTCTGACAGCCTCTGCTGATCCAGTTTCGGATGTTCATAGATGGCGCTGCTGTTAAGGGGACTTTTCTCTTGAACAAGAAAGTAAGTAGGCTCTCTTTCATGTCATAAAGTCAGGCTTGCAAGCTATTCCTCATTTTGATCTTGATTTTTGGCAGCTTGCTCCTCGGACTCTCTATGATCAAGGTGTACGAAGATTTAACCTTGTCAAATTTTAGCACCTTTAACTCCATCGAGGTAGTCACTACAAGGTATCTACTCTTGGATTCTTCTTGTCTTGATGCTGAACTTCTCGCTCGATATTCTTTTATGATGATCTCTGGTTATTTCCATTGACTTCCAGTAATCTACCAAGAAAGGCGAAGCTATCGAGAAATTTGATCGCGCTGCTGAGCTACGGAGGAGTTCCTAATGAATTCTTTTTGGATATTTTTGCTCAACACGTTGGAAGAGACGAAGACCGTATTCTACAACCGACAGGGTGCACTTAAAGGTGCTTAGACTCCAAGGCTTTCTGGTTCTTTTACAATTTCCTGAAGTCTTTAATACTATAGAAAGTATTTGTTTGCGCAGCAGCTAGTCGTAATTATTGGAAAATGGATGATAATATGGCTGCAGAAATGGTCATGGCTCTTATTCCTCTTGATGAGCCATATTTGAAGGACCATTTGTCTATTCTCTTAAACACAGAGAAAAATAATCTCAAAGCAGGAAAGCTTCCTGTGTCTGAATCATACTATCTCATGGGGACAGTGGATCCGACCGGAGAACTAAAGGAAAATGAAGTCTGCGTCATCCTGTATGCTACTCAATTCTCCTCGAGTGCATTTACTTCCTTGGAACTGCGTGTTCTCCTCATTTTCTCATTGCTCTGTTGTTGTGGTTTTGTAGCGAGTCTGGTCAAATTTCAGGGATTTATAGGAATACCGGATTACATTTTGGAGACATACATGTACTTAAGGCTACATATGTTAAAGCCTTAGAAGACTATGTAGGAAATTCCAAGTATGGTGTGTTCTTCCCTCAGAAAGGTCCAAGATCTTTGGGCGACGAGATTGCAGGTGGTGACTTTGATGGCGATATGTATTTCATATCCAGAAATCTCAAGGTACGCTGCAAGGTATATCCATCGCATATGAAAGTAAATTCTTCACTGCTGAGACCTGACTTATGAACCGTAAATTATTATTATGTTTTAGCTTCTTGAACACTTCAAGCCAAGTGAACCATGGGTGAGTTCTTCTCCAATTTATACTGGTACAAAACCAAGTGACTTTCCACCGGAAGAGTTGGAAGCAGAGCTTTTCAAAATATTCTTAAAGACAAGATTTGATCCTAGGTACGCGCACAATTCAATAATGAAAAGGAAGAAGAAACTTCTAAAGTTGATTGATACATACTATGATGCTCTTGATGCACAGAAAAATGGGACTAATGTTGCAGTTTCCCACATTAAATGAAACGGGAGACATCGTTCAAGTCCACTTCTATTCTTGGATTAATCTATGACTCTGTAGAATCTCATATTGCAGAGAGAAGCCCCCACAATCTGGTACAGATCTTCTTCTTCTTCTTGTCAATAATCGTACTTAGTACATAAAAACTCATCATCTCAAATATATTTTAATGTCTTAACTGTATGTTACCATTCAGAAATCAAGAAACTCCCTTGTTTTGAAGTTGAGACGTTCCCTGAGTCTCACATGAAGAGATGTGGTCTCTGGTACCAGAAATACAGAGAAGAGATGAACCAGGCGTTGAAGCATACCGATGAAAATATTAAGAAGAAATCAGCCAATGAAGTTAACCAGAGATTCAAGCAGGTAGACGTCATGAATCACCGATTTTTAGTGGATTCGTCCAAATAATCTGTTGAACAATTTCTCCTCTCTCTGTATCAGGATTTCTATGGTGCTGCATGTCTTGAAGAAAGCAAGAGAAGTCTGGAAGAACTTTACTCGGAAGCCCTTGCACTTTACAACGTCTCTTACGATTATGCCATCAAGTGGAATAACATTCGAAATTGCGGTTTTGTTTGGAAGATTGCTTGCTAAGTCCTGTGCAAATTCTACCGTGAGAAAATACAGGAGTCATTCCCATGTACAATTTCTGCTCTTAAAGAGATTTTGGGTTAAACACACTTGTCATGTTTTGTTCTGTTCTGCTATATTCGGGTAAAAATAAACCTTATGTTGTCTTCATGTCTCATAAGATGCGTGTGAGGCAAGAATGTTCCTTAGTAGTAACCTAACTTATAGGTTAAGCTATGTGGTATTGTGCATTTGCTTTAAGTTCTTTTTTTTTTTTTTGGTGCACAAGTTCTCTAATCTTAGATTTGTCCTCTAGTGTACAAATAATTCCGTGTGTGTATTTGCTTATGAAATAGATAAAAGGTAGAACTATGTTGGCCGATAAAAAAAAAAAAAAAGTAGAACCAAGTTAAATAATACTAAGCTATTTAATTTTAACTTTAATTTTACGTGGCAACTTCTAAGTCATGTGGTGTACAAAAGCTGTCTTCTTCAGTGTGACACCTCTCTGCATCCTCAAGCTTCCATTTGGAATTTCCTCAACCTTCTTCTTTCTTCCATTCCTACTATAGATTCCATAAAAGGTACAATAAAGTTTCTTCCTGATTGATCCTTCTTGATTTTACTTCTTTTTGCTCTGTGTCCTTTTTTAATTGTGTTCATTGATCCTTATCAAGATGGAGAGTGTGACAAACTCGGATTTGAAATCTTCCGTTAATGGTGGTGTTGTTGATGTGTATGGAGAAGATTCAGCCACCATTGAACACAACATAACTCCATGGTCTCTCTCTGTTTCAAGGTAACAACATAACTTCTTTATGGTCACAGATCCTAAGTGTCTGAATTTGACAATCAAGTTAGTAACTTTGTTTCTTTAGTGGTTATTCATTACTGAGAGATCCTCGGTACAACAAAGGACTTGCTTTCACTGAGAAAGAAAGAGATACACATTACTTGTGTGGTCTTCTTCCTCCAGTTATTCTTGATGAACAACTTCAGGTAAAAACTTGGTAATTTCGTTAATAATTCGTTCCATTAACAGAGATTGATAAGCTTTGTCAACGGTTTTTAGGAGAAGAGGCTGATGAATAATATCAGACAGTATCAATTTCCATTACAAAAGTACATGGCTTTGACAGAACTTCAGGTGAAAAAAATCATGTCTTTATAATCTTGCAAATTTATTTTTGTTGTGTTAACATATGAGAAAGATGAATAACTTATTGTACTTAAAAAAAAAAAAACAGGAAAGAAACGAGAGGTTGTTTTACAAGTTGTTGATTGATAATGTTGAGGAGCTTCTTCCAATTGTCTACACTCCAACTGTTGGTGAAGCTTGTCAGAAATATGGAAGTATTTTCAGGAGACCTCAAGGTTTATTCATCAGTTTAAAAGAGAAGTATGGATTATTATAACTTTTTTATCTTATGATTTTTCGGTCTTTTCCAGCTTTAAATTTACTCATAGGATTTATATTCATATAGGGGAAAGATTCTAGATGTGTTAAAGAATTGGCCTGAAAGGAATATACAAGTTATTGTTGTTACAGACGGCGAAAGGATTTTGGGATTGGGAGATCTTGGTTGTCAGGTAATTGTGGGATGTCACTTCGTTTCGGTTTTGATATGATCTGAATTAAGTGCATGAACAGAGTTGGTTTTTCCTTTAGGGGATGGGTATACCGGTTGGTAAATTGGCGTTATATTCAGCACTTGGAGGAGTTCGTCCCTCTGCGGTAATGGCTTAAGTTTACGATTTTACGTATTTTGTAAGTCAGGAACTTGAGACTAAATTTTTTCTTCTTGCAGTGTTTACCTGTCACCATTGATGTGGGAACAAACAATGAGAAACTGTTGAATGATGAGTTCTACATAGGACTCAAACAAAAGCGAGCAACCGGACAGGTTTTTTTGATTTTCGTCTTGCACAGTATAGTCTTTTTTTGTGATATATAAACTTTGAAAAAGTGAGCAGCTTTGTTCATAACATAATTGCAGGAGTATAGTGAACTCTTGCATGAATTCATGAGTGCTGTCAAACAGACATATGGCGAAAATGTCCTTGTGCAGGTACGAAATAATGAATTGTCGGTTCTTGCTTCTATAATTCGAGCAGGGGCGGAGCTATGTGTAAGGTAGGGGGTCACATGACCCCGACTAATTTTGTTTTTTTGGTAATTTGTTTAGTGTTTGATTAAGTTATGTGATATTATTTGGTGTAAACCCAATGTTTGACCCCATAATTTATTTTATTTTATTGTTTGACCCCACTCATGAGAATTTAAAATTGTAGAATTGAACTATCACGTATAAATATTATTTTTATTTGTTATCATTATTCTCTTATGTGTTGGTTTATAACCGGTTTTTTTTGTTTCTCATATTTTCAAATTTTGTCAGCATTTTTGTATAATTTCAAAATATTTTTAGATAATGTTCATTAAAAACTAGAGTAATGTATTATATAATGACCCCGGTCAAAAAAGTTTCTAGATCCGCCACTGAATTCGAGCATTTAGCATTGTGTACGCTTTTTATATGCTCTGTAATCTTTTTGACACAGTTTGAAGATTTTGCTAATCATAATGCGTTTGAGTTGCTTACAAAATACCGTGACACTCATCTCGTCTTCAACGATGATATACAGGTAGGTATCTAGACTTCTTTATCTGTTTTCTTGTTCTCTTCATGTTTTGAAAGAGTGTTGTCTTTGCCTTTTGGTTTCAGGGGACATCATCGGTTGTTTTAGCGGGATTAGTTTCCGCACAAAAGTTGATGAATAGTCCACTTGCAGATCACACCTTCCTCTTTCTTGGTGCTGGTGAAGTAAGAATCAATTTTTGGCATCACATTCTGACTCTTATGAGTCCATATATGCTAAATTTTTTTGATATGTTTAATCGTTTGGTTGTTGAAGGCTGGAACTGGAATAGCAGAACTTATAGCTCTCTATATATCGAAACAGGTAATGAATGTTCTTGGAATTTTGTGAAATGCTTGGTCCAGTCGCTTTCAATTTATTTCATATTTCTTCTGCAGATGAATGCTTCGGTAGAGGAAAGCCGGAAGAAGATCTGGCTTGTTGATTCCAAGGTAGAAGAAATTAAAAAACAAACGTAAGAGATTTTGTTGGACTATAAATTGAAGCAAGTTTGGCTTTTTCTGATAGGGACTGATTGTTAATTCCCGTGAAGAGTCGCTTCAAGCATTCAAGAAACCATGGGCTCATGAACATGAACCGGTCAAAGATCTCTTAGGTGCTATTAAGGTGTGAAACTTCTTCCTGTTAGCATCGTGACCGACCTTATCTCGATGTGTTTTCTTTCCTCTGAAGTTATATGTCTCACCATCAGGCCATAAGACCAACTGTGCTGATTGGATCGGCTGGCATTGGACGGGCTTTTACAAAAGAAGTGATTGAAGCCATGTCTTCTATTAATGAGGTAATTATTATTCTTTGTTAAGTGATCATATTAAGGTACATTTGTGGTTAAATAAGAAGAGAAACCAAGAAAATGTTCTTGCAGAGACCTCTGATAATGGCTCTCTCTAACCCGACAACACAATCAGAATGTACAGCTGAAGAAGCTTATACTTGGAGTAAGGTAAGACTCTCCACACCGCACGTCACCATTATTTCTGTATGGCTTCCCCTCAAATGAAATTTAAGTTTTCTGATCTTCTTTCATATGAAGGGCCGTGCAATCTTCGCAAGTGGAAGTCCGTTTGATCCGGTTGAATATGAAGGAAGTGTGTTTGTATCTACACAGGTAATACTAGATAAACTCTGTTGTTCTTCTTCATCCATTGAGGACTAAGGAAGTTAGTAAAGCTCTTTGCATTTCTTAAAACACAGGCGAACAATGCGTACATATTTCCGGGTTTTGGACTTGGTTTGGTTATCTCAAGAGCAATACGAGTACATGACGATATGCTTCTAGCCGCGGGTAAGTATCCCAAATGCCTAAAAATCTCGAGAGATCTAAAACTAGCAAAAGCTCTAAAAGCTTTGTTGTTTATGTTCTGTGTAATTTAGCCGATGCATTAGCTGGACAAGTAAGCAAAGAGAACTATGATAAAGGAATGATTTATCCTCCCTTCTCCTCTATCCGCAAAATATCAGCTCATATCGCAGCCGACGTAGCAACTAAGGCATATGAACTAGGTATCTCTCTTTACACTCTCTACTCTCTCTCATTCATGATTCAACCTTAAATTTCGGTTTAAATTTTGATGCGGTTATGGCGGAAAATGTATTGGTTTTCAGGAGTGGCGGGGCGGCTTCCACGGCCTAAAGATATCGTCAAGTGTGCAGAGAATAGCATGTACAGCCCTACCTATCGTCTCTACCGTTGAGACAAGAACAAAACTCAAAAGAGTCTCTGCTTTGTATGTAAAATTCCTGTTTTATTTGATCCCCAAGTTTGTTTTTTCAGTACACTCCAATAATAATGAACTGTTTCAAGTTCAATGTTCCAAACCACATTCAATACCTCATGACTCGTGTTGTTAACTTTGTAACTCTTACCATACCAATGTTACTACAAATGCATTCGAGCTTCTCTTGAACCCACCGGAGATACGAGACAGAACCCATTGGAGACAGAGCCACAGGAGACTATTGCCCTCGAGTTTCTCTTAGAGTAGTTTAGGTTCGTAATCAAATTTGTTTTGAGTACTATTAGCTCTTGATTTCCTTGGAAATAACGTAAGACTTTTTTGGTGGGTTTTGTTTATTTGGAAGTGGTCGCTTTGATTTAGGGTTTTGTTTCTCTGGATTTTCGATTTGAAATCGATTTATTGGTGAAAGTATCTAGGGTTTTGTATAAGATATGAATAATGGATTTTTTTGTTTGTTCTGTTTAAATTATTGAAATCGATTTTCTGATTTGCAGTTACAAGGAAGCACGAGTTGAAGAATTAGAGAAGCAGGTTTGATCTTTATATAATATTGTAAATTGAATTGTGTTGTTTAACCTAATAATATATCTTAAGGAGCAAGCTAGGGTTTTTGCCTTCTCGCACAAGTACAAGTCTACTACAATCCCTCGCCATGGGCGAGTCTAGCAACACGATGGCTTACATTAAGAGAGAGCCAGAAGATAATTTGGAGACCAACGTGAAAGATGATATGGAGACCAATGTGAAAGATGATATGGAGACCAAAGTGAATCTCTTGCTTGAGACAATGCAAGGATTGGCTCTTCGTCTTCAACAAATCGAGGCAAAGGTGGATATGTTGGCGAAAAAGGCTGATTTAGAGGCGGCTTTTAACTCACATGAGGGAAAGCAAGTTCCTTCTAAGAAGCCTATTGCTAGAGCACTTTTTAAAGACGAAGATCCTGATGAGGAAGATGACAAACCTCCCAAGAAAAAGGCTGAAACATATGCCAATAATACTCCTAATGGTGGTAGTGGAGGTCGTCCTTTCCACGATGGTCCTTCTCCTCCTCACTTCCATCCTGGCAGAGGAGGTCGTCCTTGGCCTTCCAACTTCCGCAAACGTGGTGGAAGAGGTCGTCCTTCTTCTAAATTCCGCGATGGTGGCAGTGGAGATCCATATTGGCCTTTTAACTTCGGCGATGGTAGCAGGGGAGGTCCTCCTAGGCCTTTTAACTTCCCTGATGGTAATAGTTTAGGTCCTTGGTCTTATAACAACCGTTGTGGTGGTCAAGGCTTTTGTGGCTACTGTTGAGGATTTGGTGGTGGAGGAAGAGACAGTGCTCGTGGAAGCAGACCTAGCTAGTTTTACTCGCTCATGTAGAAGACTACCATCAAGCTCTTTAGTGTTTTAAACTTGTGATACAATGCAACTCTTTCCATTACTTTGGTATTTCTTATGTTCTCAATTTTTTTTTTGTGATTTTCAATGTTAAAAGAACAATAATGAAAAGAGTTTTAATTGTACAAGAAGAATATGATGCAAATTCAAATTTGAAAATTGATAATATGTTTACATAATAAAACTAAACAGACGAATGAAGTAGAGAAAGAATTACAGAACTGATGAATGAAGAAGAAGATGAGTAATATTTCTTCCCAAAACGGCTAAGTAAACAAACAGTAAGAAATCAATAAATAAAAATTTTCCAGAGGGGAACAAATAATGCTTTCTTCTTTCACCAATAAACATTTTGAAGCCAACATG